CATGTGTATTAACAGTTTGCTTCCAACCAGGAATATCTACAAATCAATAAAAACTGGCCCTGGAAAAGGCCAGCTCTGCACAAAGCCACGGCACCCCAGCATGGTCACGTTGTGCTCCCCAAGGCTCTGTCAACTCAGTTTCATCATGCCCAGAGAAAGAAAGTTGCAGTTCTTCACACACATCATTCCACTCCTGCCTTTCATAAAAACCCTCATGGGTTTCAGGAGGATGTCAAACTAGGACCACTGTTCTGTCACTCCTAAAGCAACAACTATTCCTGTATCTAAAGATACGCTGCACCCTGTGAACAGAAATCAAAGATGGTCAAACATGCCAGGACAGCTGTCCTGAAAAAGGGACAGCTCTGTGATGGGTATGAAGGTTGTCTTTTTTTAAAAAATAAATAAAATATCATTTGAAAAACAAGGAATAAAACAAACCCTTAGTGGATACATAAACAGTTCCTCTTATCTTTTAACAGTATAATATCCAGAGAAAAAATGGAAGATCAGGATAGTGTACACAGTGTTAAAAATAACTTCCACAAGCCAGTTCTAGAGTCACAGAGCCTGTGAGTGCCTTTGTGCCAGCCCTCTGACAAGTTTTGCTGTGCTGGAAGGGACAATTAAACAAGAATATGGCAGAGGTCTCAAACCACAAGTGAGTGGCATGGAGAAGAACTAGAAACACTTACTTGTTCCATCACACAGTGCAAGACCTAGGCCCAAGAAAATGATCTGACAGTAAGTTTACAAGAAACAAAGGGACCTGCATCTTCACACAACATCTGAGTAAACAGAGTATAATTGATGCATAATTAAATAGCAAAAGTCATTGCTGCAGGATGCTGAAGAAACTGAAAGCATGAGCAGATTCAGAAAAGGATGTACAAGTTTCTGGTAGACAGATGTGGTAAAAACAGTTGGTGTTAAACACTGTGGTCTAGGGACAGCTGCCAGCTCTCAATCCTTGAGGAGACAATTGCTGGGAATCAGAGAAAGCTGACTAGAGCCATGCCCTCCCTGTTACACCTGCACAGTGTAACCAGCTACTGGCCTCTGGCATGGAGACAATCTGGGTTAGACCTTTGGTTTGGCCATTTTCACACCCTCATCGTCCTTCTAATGTTTTTCTTGCACAAGCTTATTGTTAGAAAATCTATCTTCACTCTGCTTCTTCTTCCTCCTCCCTCCAGCAAAACACTCTCCTCTCCGTGATGTGCTCCCAGCCTGGTGGTGCTGACATTCCTGCTGCCTGCCGGGCTTCCCATTCTCAGGCTCTTGGCCACCCTGCAATTGCAGGCACCACGTCCTCAGCCTAACACAGCACTGGCTCCAGTCCTGGCGGTGAGGATTCATCCCGGGACCAACCATGCTGCTAACTCAAGCAGGACCTGGAACAACAAACCATAGAGGCTCCCAAAAGAGCAGAGGGAGCACAAATGAGAGCTGATCCTTGTGTTAGAATAAGCACTAATGAATTTATCCAGGCTACCTGAGAATACTCTTGGGGCAGCAGCTTGGTTGTAGCTTGTTAGCCGCAGCAGCTTTCCTTTCTGCATAAATCTTGACCCACGGCCTCCTGCTTTCTGCACGTATTACTTCACTAGTGCCCCTCTCTCCTGACATGAAGCACTCTTTGTTATTTCCACCCTGAGCATCCAGCTTCATGTAGCTCAGGTTGTGCACCTCAGTCCTAACCCCGGGGCTTCTGCGAATCGACATGACAGGTACCTAAGGAGGACTGGCAGATGGGATGGTGGCTTTCTATTGAGATGGTTTAGGGGGATATCTGAAATGTTGCAGCATTCAAAGAAAGCCTCCTCTGCTTTCTGCTGCCCTCCCACAAGGCTGAGCTAATCGAAGTGAAGAACATGATAAACTCTCTGCCCCGAGTCAGCTCCACACTGACAGTTCACTAGAGATACAAGATCGCTCAGTGACATTAAAAATGTCAGCAAACACCGATCAGGCTTGATGGAAGGGATGCATTAGCAGGCTGGGGGGGCAAGGTAAAACTTCAGCAAACCCAGTCAAGTGCACAGGCAGCTTTTTTCCCCCCTCTGTTCTTCCACAGAAGCTTTTTCACAGATCCCAAGACACTGTGGCCACCATTGCAGCAATCAGGTGTGGAGCTCACCACCACCTGCACGGCCAGATCAATCCAACAAGGTTTGCCTGAGGCAAAACAAGCGTGGCAGCTCATGGGGGCAGTTCCTGTCTTCAGCTTGCCCGAGAGGCAAGTCTTGGAAATTGTGAAAGCTGCCTGGAGGCACAAGGTTCTTGCCTCAACTACTCCTGCAGCACAGCAGAGACAAGGGAAGGAGTTTATTGGCCAATGAACCATGAGAGAGAGACTGTCTCACCAGTGAGGGAAGAAGGACTGCTGAGCTCTGGAGCATCCCACGCTCTGGCAGAGGGAATACAGACAAGGACTGTTTCTTAAAATGATATAAAACAGAGACAAAGAGGACCTGAAGCTGTGTGTGCATGGGCAGAGGGAACCTGCTACTGCACTACACATAGGTACACAAACATAGGTACAGTGTGTAATCCCACTCTTGCATTGCCTGGTAGTTGCAGAAGGAGCTGCCTAATTCAGAAAGGTCCTCTTGCTATCACTGCTCACAAGCAGAGACCCAAAGGAGGGACAGAAGATGCGGGAGGGTCCTTCTGCAGAAAACTGCTGTCACACGTGCTGGTTTCTCGACATCTGAAACATTCAAGTCTCTGCATTATCCATGACCTAGAAATCATCAGTTTCACACTCCACACCCCCCCCCCGCCCACCCCCCAACACCTTCACTTCATGGATCAGGTCAGAGGCAGACTAAGCCTACAAGGTATTTCTAAGTCAGGAACATGCCAGAGGGAGGGGAGCTATGCAGGGACGAATAGGGGGGCTAGTTACCTGTCCACTCTTATTTGTCTCACATTGGGAGCTCACTCAATAGAGACTGAGGCTCCATTGGATCTGCCTGCTTGGACAGAATTAGTTATCTAAGCTGGAAATCCTCTCTTGTGAAAACATACAGGCAGTCGCCCCACAAGCACCTGAAAGCAGAGAGTGGCATGGAAAGATCCTCGCCCTGGGGTAAGAGCAAGTCCCAGGAGAAGCAGCTCTTAAATACAGGACAGGAGATGTTCCTTGCTCTCCTCTGCAAGATGGCTCACTTCCCAGAGGGATGTGGGGTCCCTGAAGCCACACTGTGTCAGAGGGCATCAGATACTGAAGCGTCAGAAAAACTTCATTTTTTTAAAGGATGAGAGGGATTGGAGGAAGATGAACATTTCTCTCTCACATCCCCTCCTCACATGATCTGAAGGAGGTTGAAGTTTTCCTTTCCAAGTTCCTCTGCTCAATGTGCAGAGGAGGACAACCCCACCCATGTGCCCCCATCCTACATGCTCAATATGTGACACCTTCAGAGAGCTGGGAAGGGGAACACTTCGCTGCAACAGCTTCTTTCCTGCTCCTGCCTTTAGCTCTGTGCTTGGGACCTCATGGATGCTCAGCAGCCCTCAGCTCAGTGTCAAAGTATTTGCTGATGTGCAATACACGAATGCCCATCTTGAAGAACAGCCACTTGCCTGGACATCCACATTATGGAGAATCCCAGCTCCTCACACACTAAATCCAGGAGCCTTGAACTATGGTAAAGAGCCGTAAGTCATTCATCCAGAGGCCCAGAGGAGGAGCTGGATCAACCTACTTCTTAGCAAACATCACAGTACATAGGGATTTTTTTTAAAGTATTATTATTCTGCAGCCATCAACCTGCTGGTTATATAGCTGCTATCCATTCACCGGAAGTTTAGTGAACTTCAAATGGCGATCATTAATGGTCACTGAACTGCAGAATGCCCCAATGTGCTTTCAGATTTCATTTACCAAGGACCAGCAATCAGCCAAAAGATTTGCTCTGACAGCAGGGAAATACAAGACCCTTTGACAAGTTCAGCCAGGAATGTGCTGCCAGCATCCCTTGTTACGTTCATGTTCTACCCTATTTGATGGAACAGATCATGCAAATTGTCCTTCTGCGGCCGCTCAGCCTGTCACTCACGCTTCCATTTAAAACAATAAATAAATAAAAGAACAAAAGAAAAGCCCACAAGAACAACAAGCTGTTTATAAGCAAATTTCACTTACTGAGACCCCTAATTACCACAAAAAGGCACAGGAACCAAAATAAAGCACTAAATTGGATGGGGGAAGGGAATCTTACTCATCCAAAGGTTTAACCAGGAGGGCCACCCCAGTTTTCTCTTGTGCACAGACTGCAACCTCCTCCCTCACCCTGCTACTGCTTGTCATCACACTTGTTCTTTTCTTCTCACTTTGGTTTGTGTCTTATGGCACCACCACATTTTTCTGTGCAGGTGGAGCTGCTGTGCCAGGGGAGACCTTGTGGATGCACAGCAGGCTGCCCCTTAACCACTCAGTGAAGGCATGGAGCAAGACACGGCACCAGACAATACCGAGTCCAAGGCATTTTGCTTAATAAAGTGGTCACCAGTCTCTTAGGTGGATGTGCTGCTGAGACATCTCCCTTTCCCCACGCCACAAAGGGAAATGCTGATTTTTATACTGGAGTATTGCCACATTTATTAACCAGAATTTGATCTGAAGGGAACCATGCTCCTAGGAGCCTTATGTGGCTGCAAAACAAAACAGAGTCAGCAACACTGGGGACAACACAACCTTCACTGGAAAGGGGCCTCACAGTGTCCCACTATTATGCAGAGACATCGCACTGTGCCTGCCACAATGGGATTTTCCCCAGCTGCAGAACACATCCCATCAAGTACAGTAAGACTCTATTAGAGGAGATACAATAGGGAGCTGGAGGACTCGCTCAGCCCAGCTTCTGAGGAAATAACTCATTTCAATGCAAAGCAGCAGTAGTTATTAGACACCTCCTTAAAGAGGAAAAGTGAAGGACAAGGGGAGGAGGGAGAGAGGGAGACAGGGACTATGGCAGTTTGCACAGAAGTACCTTTTTCAGATTAATCCACTGTTTGAAGTAATCAGCAACCGGCAGCCCTAAGTACTGGCATTGTCCTGGTAACCTGTAAGAGAGAAAAGAGCAAGTTTGATTCAATCAGTGTCCTGACAACACAAACTCTGTTTTCTTAAGTGCATTTTGTTCAGAGATGGAAGAGACCCTCAAGTCTGCTGTAACGCGCTGCACATCAGAAGGACCATAGCTCTCGGCAAAAAAATCTCATGAGAGCACAGCTTTGCTTAAGACTTATATACATCCAGCCACATCTAGGCTGCTGAAACCTTTCGGACTAAACATTTTGAACAGCAAGTGCAGCACTCAGCTCTTCTCCACAGTGGCTAACACACAAACATGACTGGAGTATCTGCGCTGTCCTTAGCTAAGTGAACCCATCACAAATCCCTGAAAAACCATCCTGCTTAGCAGCTTACAGGGCAGGCAGGACTGACAATTCACCTGTCATACCCTGGTGCTTCTGGATTTGGCCTTTATGGTTAAAACACCGAACGAGACATGAGGGAGGGAAGGAGGCAATAAAACATTCAGTTTTGGGTAGCAATGCTGTAGGACCAATGTTTTAGGGCTAGGAAGGCAGAGGTTGTTTTCCAAGCTTGGAAGAAGAGAGCAGTCACAACTCTGAAGACACAGGGTGCTGCACACTGTCTCACTAGAGGTTTGAGCACAGCAGCCAGAGCTGCCAGCCCATGTATTTACCCTCTCCCTTCTTACAGCGAGCCAGTGGAATAGAGCTCAAAACAAAACAGCACTGGTAAGGGAGGTGGATTGCCTGAAGGGACAGCAGGACCCCAGGAAAGCTGTTTCTCTCACACTGTGCTGATCCCAGTGTGTTTGCACGGGAGCTACAACGTGCCCCTCAGCTGGGGAAGGCTGAGTTGCAAACTGTGTGGCTCCAGCCGAGCCTGTGCAGGGACATGAGTTATGTGAGTTTTTCCCGGCCAGTTTGATCTGATCAAGAGTAATTGATGGATCTTGTTCATTCACGTACTGCTGAGCACGCCTGGGGCACTGGTCACAAGATCTTTAACTGAAGCAAAGGAACATCCCAAATAAATATGTCAACTAAATAAATGACTAAATTAGAGCTGTTTGTGCATGTTAAAAGTCACAACCCCAGAAATCGGCTTTTGCAAACAGAGGGGGATGGGGAATCTCCCAACTTCCTCAGGCACATGGGGGCTGTAGGGGGAGGCTGTAGAGGAGGAGGGAAGAGCTATGACTGTCAGCATCAGCTGCTCAAACACCCCAACACAGACCACCACGTCCAGGGTCCAAAGTCTTCTCCCATCTCCATAGAGGAAAGAGTGAATAGTCCAGACCAGACTTCAGATTCAAGACTGAAATTCAGGAACATGCTCTGGTCAGCAGTAGATACAAGGTAGATACACCACCCTGAGCTAGGGTGCACCACCAGCACACCAGGCAGCACCCGAGTGCTCAGCCCAGCTCCCAACCCTTTGGTGAACAGGGCAGCATCTCTCTAGACATTTCCCCAAGCAAGGAGATGAAGGAGCAGCACAGATAATGCACTTGCAGATAATGTGAGATTCAGGGTAGTGTAGCACCAGAGCAGTCTGGTCTTGGTGATGCCTCCATTTCTATGGGAAGGAAAGGAAGGAACCTGGCAAACATATACAGGGGAATCTCCTGGAAATATGTGGCCAACAGAGCCAGCACACACTGGGACCCACCTGTGTACCACCTTTGCCCTGCTTAGGCTAAGAAATGAATAGACTCCCTGTGCCAAAACGATATGCCTGGTCCTGAGAAGATGCAAGTGTCATCATTTAGGAGCAATAACTTAAGTCATACAAACACATTTGAATAAGAAGGTACAGAGGAAGCTCTTTGAAAGCAGGAAGCCTGTCAAAAGAATGAGCTTGCAAGCAGCAGGTCTGTGGCAATTTGCAGGGTAAGCAATGTGATCTGACAGCACAGTCTCATCTCTGGGCACGGCTCATCCGATGTAAGCACTGAAATAAACCACCTGGAGTCACTCCTCACAATGGAACAGCCATGACATAAACAGGAGCCTGGTCCATGCATTTTACAGCCTTATACATATGTCCAAGACATCCCATAGTCAAACAGACCCCACCAGCCTCAACCAGCATGCTAAGAAATTCTTTCTCCAGGAAAGCTGCTTTCTACTGGTGCCCAAATCAAAAAAGACCACAAGGAACTATCTAAAACAAACGACTGGTCTAAATACAGACATGTGGTTAGCTCAACCTCTCTTAGACTCCTCACATTTAGCTAGAGAGGATGATGACAGGAGCTAGCAAAAGGTATGTTACTCAAAATTGTGTTTCTCCTCCCAACCCAAGAGGCTTTCATTAATACAGGTCTCAGTGTAGCTCCAGTTAGAGGAATAATTATCAACTCACCTAACCTCTGGATAGGGCCCAGGAGAAGTGAGTGCAGCATTGTTCTTGTTAGTCACAGGAATTGACAGCTAACCACCCAGTGCAATGGATGACATCTAAAACACTGCCATCCCTGTGGGACCAAAAGGCCCAGCAAACTGGACAGTCTGGTTCTATTTCCACCCTGAGACTGATGGCAGTGTGCCCTGGGCGCTGGACAGTGGGTCTTTAATTGGAGAAAATAAATGCTCCAAATAAATATGTCAACTAAATAAATGATGCATTTTTGCAAACAAGTAACAACCCCAGAAACCGCCTGTGAAGCCGTGTGACCTCAGGACATTCCCCCTCCCCCTCCATGCTTGTGCTCCCCTCATTTCACCTCAGCACCAGAGGGGCTGCACCAAGTTTTTCAAGCACTAGGAAACCTCCACTCACACCATAACCTGGGCAGGCTGTCGGCAGCACGGACCACAACATCAGTCTACTCCCTGAGCTGGAAGATGCAGGCCTGGTATCTCCAGGCCAGTCAGGACACAGCCACTTAGCAAGGATTAGCAAAGGATTGCTATGTGGGTCTGGTCTTGTCTGCATATGCAGCACTCCCACCACAGGGAACTGGGGGCTTTCACTGCACAAAAACCGGGTTCCCAGGTAGCTACGGGAAGGAAAACACTCCTGCAATGTCGTTTCCCCAGCTCCAAGCTCGTCCAAGCTACAGTGGTGTCCCCCCCACACTCTTCAGCCTGGTAAGCAGGCAAGAATTTTTCCATCATCTTCTCCAGGTTGGAGTGAATAAGGCACACCTGTGGCTGTCCTGGGGAACAGAAGTGCCATGGCCTGTAAAGAAGTAAGCCCATTTATCAGCGCCACCATTTACTTGAGCTCATTTGATAAACAAGCTCTTATGCTCAGTTTGGCTTCTTGCTCTTGCCAGAGCCAACCTTGCACACTGGGGGCAGCTTTGCTTGAGCACAGAGCTCAGGATTTGGCCCTCCCTCAGGTAAGGGAGAAATGATGGCACATTTCGCTGCATTCAACATCCCACGATCCTTCCAGTTTTTGAACAAGGTCTCACTGCCTCCCCAAACACTGAAGTGCTCACACCTTGGGAAGGAAGCTGGCTTTCAAAACCATCCTGCAGGGTAAATGGGGCCTGGAGATGAACAGGATGCAAATAGGAGGCGAGGTGACATGGCTGCATTTCTCCCGTTGAAGCCAGCTCTCTCCAAGGCGGCAAGAAACGCACAGCTCGGTGGTGATAAACGGCCTTGCTTTAGTTATCACTTTCCTTAAGTTAAGGAGAGCAGCCTAGTGATGGATGGGCTGGAATTCGGTTATCAGGGAAGGCTGTCAGCCAGAGTTGCCTATCTCCACACACATTTAGCAGGGCGTCATTATGCGATGGCATGGAGTTAAAATATGACCAAGGGTATTGAAAGAAAAAGAACAGGATTAAAAAAAAAAAAAGGCAAATTGAGCAACAATAAAGGAGCGTGAGGCAAGAACGTTATCGTACTAGTGACACCTTTTATCTCGGTCTGGTTAGCTAGAGCAGGGCACAAATTGGTCCTTCCTCCACTATTGTATCCTCTTGTACAAACAGAGGCAGATAAAATGTGTCACCAGTGCGATAGCATATCAATTTAACCCTAATTATCTAGAGGGTCAAACTAAGAAATAGGGGTTTCTCATTTCAACAGGTCCCTCCATCTCTGCTCGGAGCCACCACATTAATATGGAAGGGGGAGGGGCAGCTGTAATTGATTTCCGTCACTCAGGTGGTCCTGGTGTATAAAAAATTAATGCTTGATTCTCCCAACTAATCAGAGCTGGTTAACGTCCATCTGCTTCTGGGTTCAGGATGTCAGGAGACAAAGAAATTGGGGAAATTGGGCCACTTGCTACACACTGGGTGTATCGATATTGAGGCAGTTAAAAGAACAAGTCTCTCTGTGGGAAGATAAAGAGACATTAAATCTTGGGGTTTATAGACCTGATCTCAACCTTCCAAAAAAATCCGTGCCCTGGAGACCTTGCATTGTAAGAGATGCAGAACATTTTAATTGTGTCCCAGCCAACTCCAGTGCACTGGGCTACAAAGGAGAGGGCTGGCAGGCTCCTGCCCTGGAAATCCTTCACTGAAGAAGGAAGCTATTTGGATGCTGCAGCACTCAACAGCACCTAGGTGACAGCCAAAAAGAGCTGTAAAGCCACCTCAGCCTGACACTTTAGTTCAAAGCAACGTTGGTCAAGGCATCATTCTGGACCGTGCAGCCCAAAGGTGCTGCTCTGATGTAGAGTGGGATGTCTGCCAGGAGAAGAGGAAAGCCTGGGTGTCCTCTCTCAACAGAGAAAGTTAGCAAGGGGACAACATCCTGTGCTAAGGCACGTGAGATATTTTAGCAGAGAAACAGCATCATAACAGGCAAAGCTGCATCTCTCTGCACTTAACCCCACAAGAGCTGGGGCCAAGCTAGGAATTTAAAGTAGCTTAGGTAAACCCACAGCCTCCCAAAAAGGCAACCTGGGGTTGACAAAACCACTGTGCCAGACCAGGAGGCCTCTGACAGTGTGATGTTACAGCACCCGCACGTGAGCAGAGCCTCCCAGCCACAAAGAACTGCCCATGCCACACTGCACCCAGTGAAAACTGAAGCATGCTGATACACACCTCAAA